CCCCACCAAACCATGCCGGTGCCCCTCACTCCCAGCCTGCAGCCCCCTGCTCCCTGCTTCCATTGGTGCCTCTCCCAACCCACAGCTCCTTGCCCTCCCAGCCCTGCCACTGTCTCTCAGTCCTGACCCACAGCCCCCTCCCCTACTGCCCCCACAGGCCGGGACGGGTACGTATGAAGACCCCGACGGCAAGGGCCATCCTAGACTTGGCCTCCTTCAAGCAGGAGCAGGATGAGCTGAGTGATGGAGGCAGCGCCCGGTGAGTGGGGGGAGGGGGGATGGCAGCAATTCCTGCTCCTCCCTCCCAGCCCAGTTTTGCTGACATCACCGCCCCCCCCAACAGGGACCCCTCTCCTGGCTCAGAGCCCACCCCCTCCATTGAGGACCCCAGCCTGGAGCCCCCCACCCGGGGGTTATTTAAGGGGGGGTCCTATGGGCTGGGATGGGCCGCCAGGGCATGCTCTACCCCACCCCCCTCACCCTGTACCCCCCACCCCCAGGGGAGTCGTGGAGCTCGGATGAGGACTGTCCCGGGCGGGAGGAGCCAGAGGCTGAGGCTCCCCCCAAGACGCGGCCACACCTGCGCTTCGAGATCAGCAGCGAGGATGGGCTCAGTGTGCAGGCCGACACTGTGGAGGGTAGGGGCAGGGCCTGATGTGGAAGAGGCACCAGGGTCTGTGGGTGGTTTGGAACCTTATCTGCCAAGGGGCAGAGCCCGATTGATGGACATATATGGGAGCATGGGTCGGGTTGGGGGCAGAGCTTCATCGTGTGGCAGGGCGTGTTTGGGTGTCTGATTGGAAGGGGTGGGGCCTAATCTGGTGTGGTTAGAAGTGGGTGGGTCCTCATTGTGGGGTAGGGTCTATTCGGGAGGGGCAGGGCCTGATGGGGAAGATTGGGGCTGGATTGGTGAGGGGGTTCCTTACCGGGAACAGGGCCTGCCTGGGGGGCTTTGATTGGAGGAACCTTATGGGGCAGGACCACATTGGCATAGGGTCCTTATTGGGAAAGGAGGATGCTATGGGGGGAGGGTTTTGAACTGGAGGGGGCCTGATCAGGGGCCTGGCCTCAGTGTGAGGGGCTTCCCCTTCCCTGACTGTCTCCCGCCTGCAGGTGCCTGGAAGGCCGTGATTGAGAAGGTACAAGAGGCCCGAGCCGTTGCCCGTCTCCGGCACCTGTCATTCGCCGGTGAGTCCCGGGCACCCGGGTTCTCCAGGGAGGTGAGGTGGGGACTGGGAGCCAGGATGCCTGAGTTCATTGGACACTGGTGGGGCATGGAAATACTGGGAGCCTGGACACCTGGGTTCCCTGCCAACCCAGGGCAGTGCCTGCCCACCTAGGGCATCACCTAGGTCCCTGATGGCAGGCACGGGGCCCTTGCAGGCATGAATGGGGTGCGCCTTCTGGGTATGCACCACGATGCTGTGGTCTTCCTGGTGGAGCAGCTGCCAGGCGCCCGCGCCTGCCACGCCTGCAAGTTCCGGTACCACCCGCATGGGCATGGCCCCGCCCCTCCGCCCCTCAACCCCCGCGGCTGTGCCCGTGCCGAAGTCTACGTCAGGTGGGTGGGGGTGGGGTCATGGGAGAAGGTGGAGCTAGAGGGCAGGGGTGGTGGCCATAGGAGGGGGTAGAGGTGGATTGGAGGGGGAAGGGGTGTGGCCATGGGAAGGGGCAGAGATGAAGGGGAGGGGCCGGAGGAGGGGGCAAGTGGTGTGGCCATGGGAGAGGGTGGAGCTAGAGGGGAGGTGCCACAGAAGGGCAGAACTAGAGGGCAGGGGGTGTGGCAATGGGGAGGCAGGGCTAGAAGGCAGGGGGCATGGCCTTTGGAGAGGATGGAGCTAGAGGGGGTGGACCCCAGAGGGTAGAAAGTAGGGAGTAGAGCTACAGGGGAGGGGCCTGGCTGGGGTGGGGCCACAGGATAGGGCAGAGTTTTAGAAGAGGGGGCAGGGCCAGGCTGGGTGTGGGCTAGACGGCAGGGAGGGGTCGGGACCACTGGACCGGGTGGAGCTACAAAGGAGATCTCGGGGTAGGCTGGGGCTGGGGATAGATGGCAGGAGAGGGTGGAGTTAGGTGATGGGTTGGGGGGTGTAGGGGTGGGGCCACACCTGACTCCTCCCCCCTACAGGAAATGCACCTTCGACATGTTCAACTTCCTGGCATCGCAACATCGGCGCCTGCCTGAGGCTGGGGCTGAGGATGAGGAGGAGGATGAGGTGCAGCTCAAGTCCACCAGGTATCAGATGCCTGAGTTCCCTCCTGCTCCTGGGTTCTCTGCGGGGCAGCGCCTGGGGGGCTGGGAGCCCGGATACCTAGGTTCTCCAGCTCTGCAGGGGCTGGGGGTTTAGAGCAAGCGGGGTTGGGAGCCCCGACACCTGGGTTCTCCTCCTATTTGCGGGGTGGGGAGCAGTGCCCGGACGCCTGGGTCTCAGCCAGGTTCTGAACCCCCCTGCCCCGCTCCGCTCCCCCAGACGAGCCACCAGCCTGGAGCTGCCCATGGCCATGCGGTTCCGGCACCTGAAGAGGACGTCCAAGGAGGCTGTGGGCGTGTACAGGTAGCGCCCCCCCTTCCCCCC